ACTCTACAAGCTTTAAACATTTTTGGTTCCTTCCTTATAGTCGTCTTCTTTTGGGAGTTTTTGGAATATATCTCAGCTTGTTTGGATGATCTTTCTACTCTTGAGGTTATTCCTGGTCTTCTGAGAAGCGCGACAATCTCTTCTTTTCCTTCTTTGATTGCACTTCTGACCTTTTGCCTCAATATTGGATCTCCCCGAGCCATGGAACTAAAGGAAGACGAACTCCTTACAGCAGATAGTAATGATTTAGAATCCAGCATCCTTAAAATATTGCACCATATTTCTATGGGCATTCCTGGAAGCATACTAGTAGTGATGAAAGGAAGCAAAGAATACATATTGACAGCGCGATTGTTGAAATAAGAATGACCTTTGAGGAGTTTGCACCCCTATTTATACCTGTGGACAGTCCGAAATTATGGCCAATTCCTAGAAATATGATTTTTCTCAGAATTTCATGATAAATTTGAGTATGTGATGATTTTAAAAGTTTTTGAAGACGCGCACTAAGGCTAGAGAAGAGCCTTCGTATTTGAATTCACTCTCCTGAATGTTTCTAAAATCAAAAAGCTATCTATTGTTTTTGGACACTAATATTCCCTTTATTGTATAAAGTTAAGTTAAAGTTCAATAATGAAATAATAATGAAATTTTATATTCCAGTGGTGAGCTAAATACCTAGATTTTATTTTTCCAGAAAATAATTTGCTCTCTTAAAGGGAGAGAAGAAAACTTCGGGAAATGCGCGCTCAACTCGTCCAACTCCTTTATAAAATATCTTGAAGCATTTTTGTTTTCTTTTAGGTGCACCGGAAGGCGAAATTCTTTCTCCGTTTTGTGTAAAAGAAATTTTCTCAGTACAAAAGCAAATTTGCATTAGCTTCATTTAATTTATTTTTTTACCAACCAACACGTTCAAAGTGATGCGCCAAACTAGATGAAAGAAAATGCAGAAATGTTAGGACAAACACAGAACGGGAGAGCATGAAATTTATATAGCCGTGAAATTCGCCTTTATAAAGGGAAAACGAGACTTTCAGCAGTAATGAGTTGCGAAATGTTTGTTGATACTGTTGTTGCCTCATGACAATCTCAACATAATAGTAATAAATAATAAATTATCTACTGATGGCGGAACGTTTTGCTTATGTGGCAGTTAAGTGTCTCAGGCAACAACAACTTTAATTTGCATTTTATGCGACTAATGCGGAAACAGGCAACAACTTGAATATTATGTGATATATCTACATTTAATTAGTGTATGGAAAGATTGTTTATAAAGTTGATTAACCAAGACTCAAACTGGGATCACCAAAATGGATTTTTTCCCAACCTTCTATCAGTCTCTATTTCTTAAAACTGTTGCTCTGAACAAAGAGACATTCTAAAGTGTCATAACTATTGAGTCATAGGATCACATTTTTTTCGTGAATAATAGAGCATTTGTGGTGATTTTTCATTTTTCAACCAGGGTATATCCGGTTTGAGTACAAATATTTCAACTTGTGATAATATGGCCCATTTCAAGTTAAAGCTGTCCTATTAACCATGGATCAATTCTTAGTATTTTCGGAGTTATAAATTTAGATTTAGAAAAATGTTAACAATGATGTGAGAATATTTGGTGCGTACGATTTGTCTGAACCGGTTAGTGTTAGTGCGGTGCAGTTATGTTTTGGAACGCAACCATTGGAAACCACCGGGAATATGGAATGCTAAACGGTACGAATGGTGTAAAAAGTGCGACATTAATGACGGGTCAGGGTAAAAAGTGTCAGTAGTTGGACTTATCGTACGCACCCATTGTACAGATATTTATTCTCTGGTTATTGGGGCGCCTGAGATAAAATGTAAACAAATTATTCGCTTTTGAGTAATGTAAACAATAATTTGCATTTTAATCACTTTTGTATATTTAATAAATAAAATTATGTACTTTAGTGATGAATAGAAAAATATTAATATAGGTAAGAATCCGCAGTAGAATGCAGAAAAGGCAAAAATAATCGTCATTGCATGTTTGCCGCACGGCACGTGTTTCTGCCAAACGATTTTTATGCGATCGACTATAATCTGATAAGAAATGGAGAAACGAAAAATAGAAACCACAAATACGAGCACGCAATAAACATTTTTGTGGTTTCTTCCAGAGAAACCTCGACTTTTCAATCACGGAGGCGAAGCCTATAGCAAAATGTTGCCGGTTGCCGTCCCTGAAATCCTGGAAACTGAAAAAAAAATACACAAGAGCGTTTTTTTTTTGATACCTAGAAGCGGACCTTTTCCAGTAATTTTTGTTCTAAATTTCATATAGTTTCAGCAAAAAAGTTCTCTACTTTATCAAATGTAATTGGACTTTTCATTTTTATTTTTTTGTATGCAGTAAGACGTCTTGTCATCAAGACCTATTTAGGCCCATTGAACTAAACAAACACTCTGGAACGGGCGCACTGCTTTATGCTAGTGTGCCGAATTTTGATATATGCAACCCAGCAATACAGAGGGGTTGATGTCTCGCTCGCAATCGTTGTGATTAACGTAAAAAGAAGAATAGCTTTTTCGTCTTCCTAACCTCAATGATCCAAACACTTCAAACAGCTGTTCTCAATAGCTGCCATAGTACAGAGAGAGATGCAAATCCCTCTTGTTTGTTGTCCTTTCTGGCACAAACCCTCGCGTTAAGAGAGATATGTGAGGGAAATGGAATGCGCTTAGACGACTGCGCATCCGATTTTATGGTAACGCATAGGGTGCCGCCATTTTTATCAATTTTTGATTTATGCCGTTTCCGATTAATAGATTTAGTGCAGTTTTCTTTATTTCTGTCTTTTTCTTCTACAGGTTGATGAAAAAGGATGAGAATACACTCAGTGCGCATTAAATCTACCAATCAGAAACGCCATTAGTCTTTACGTTGACAACTTCAATCTGACAAATTTTTCACAACATAACCTTACTTTTGGTCGGTTACAGATTGTTGTTCTTGGCAATTTTTCCTGCTTTTTCTGAGATATTTTTATCAGAACGGCGTTTTAAAAGATTTATTTTTGTTATTTCTGCTTATTTTTGGAGTTATGAGTTGTTCATGACCTATTTTTCCAACACTTATTTTGACAAGTGATAAAAATGGCGGTCCTTCAAATTCGGCCAGTTGCGCAGGATGGACCCTTATTCTATTCTAACCAACAACTCTTCCATATCTCTGATTTAGGCTCCCGAATTTATATACAGTTTATATACGGTAAACTCGAAAATAAGTTGCCATTTTTAGGGTCCACCCTGATATACAAGTGTCGAGTGTCACCCACCATTTGTTAGCTTTTGGGATATTAGAAAAAATCGAACAATTACTGAAATCCATTCTCCTCTGATACCTATCTCCCATGCTATCAAGTTGATAAACAAAAAATGTGGATTTTTTTTCTTCTCTACAAAAAGTCATCTTCGATTTTTCTTAATGATATTCGACATTTGATCACAAATGTCCGATATCTATCGAGGACAAGCAGTTTTCCCATTTATGATTTTCTATTTAAAGGGGTTTAATGTCCTACAAAACGACTGGCCATACTATACCTCGTTTCCAATTCCTAAGCCAACTGCAAGTGGATGGCATGGATTGCACTAGGATAGTGAATGTCAAATGTCAGACCTCCTTCAGTTCTCAATTGATAATGCAAAAGGGTGCAAATGAAATAGAATTGAAATACAATTTTGCATTACCTACGTATTCCTTGAACTTTTTTTTTTTGAAATGGCGATGTAAAGTCTAAGTCACAATAGTTTGCCTGTCGTCTATAATGTTATTCAGTTATAAGAACCTATCTTTGGAACAAAAGGTAATACAGCAAACGAAATCAAATGAATCAAACAATTGTTAAAACGGACAAAAAAAGGGCATAAAATAAAGCCAAGTAGAATTCAACTCTACATCAAAGAACAAACTAGCTTTCAGCATGCTCGAATGAGTTGCACACTGTTCGTTGCTGGCCCTATTTATTTTAATGAATAAATATGCAATGCTGAAATAATTATTTGAATACCTCTGTGATAACAACGCATTTCGCTGGAACGTTTTGCAATGTTTTATTGGAACAAAATTAATTTGAGTTAGGTATTAGTTGGTTTCGCTATTATGTTATTTTAGAGGTCATTTATAGTATAATAGATGAGAAATAAGTAGTCGATCCAGAACAGTACTCTTATTTGGTCATGTAGTGGTTTGTGGTTTCTAAGAGATTTTTGAAATCCAGGATAAATCATTTCTATTACCTTTTGCAGTTTACCTTAGATTTTAAATTATGTACCTACCTATAATAGAATTGTTGCGGTGTTTGTGATACAAGACCGCCAAAACTATACGTATCTGGTTTCGTTCTTATTCCTGACAGCGTAACCATGACGCCCTTCCCATTGAACAACTCGGGTTCTGCCAGCATGGCGAATGCGAATTGATGTGGAAAACCAGAACGGTGAAGCAGATAGAATAAAATCGCTAAAAAGTTAGCTACTCCTGCCTAGGAAAGGTCGCTGCTTGCGAGTGTTTAGAATAGTAATAGTGAGGAAACTGCCGACAGATACTATTGAGAGACCGACCCTTGGTACTTTTATAAAGTCTAGTACCTACTCTAAACCGCGAAATTCGCTCTTCGACAATTTGACGTTTGATTCACGCATAAAACGTCAAATTGTCGACGCAATGTCAAAAAAGTGCGAATTTCGCGGTTATGAGTACTAGGCTTAAAAAATGTAGGGGCGAGTTCAGAAATGACACACTCAGTGTGAGTGTGACACCGGTGCAACGCCCTAGCTGTTCAAAAATGCTAGGCGGTGCTATGGGCCCAATGACCAATTGTCAATTCAGGCATACCCATAAAATCGCACTCGCACCCTGTGCGTTATTTCTGAACTCGGCTTAGTATTTCTGACAAGTTAACATGTTATCGAACGCGCTCCTTGTCATTGAAAAGGATGAAGTAGAACGTAACCTAAGTTTTAAGTTTTCAGCACGTTTTGAGTCAGTTTGTTCAGATTGATGAGTCAGAAAGAGAATGGAAAATGCGAGAAGATTGGGGAAGAGTTTTCAGGTTTTGGCTACAAACAAACCAATCGCGTGTTTGTTCCAAACATTTCAGGAGCAAGGATTACTTTCCTGCCAAAGCCCAAAGGTAACTTTATTGTGGAATAAAAACTTGTAGGTATCTAGAAATGGTTCTTTTTTTTCCAGATGAATAAGCGTCCGAGACCTAATCTCGGTATTGCGGTGCCGTCCGTTGTCGAGTCGAGCAGCAAGGCGTCAAGAAAATAGAGACAGAGAAGCCTCGGAACAAACTAATAGAATGAATGAAATGCAAGAAGGCTATTTACATTTTTAATAACAATAAAAACAGTTTTAATTGAAGTTTAGTGTGCAATTATTTGTTTACTTCAGTCCCCGTTTTCAGGTACTTTTTGAGATGGTTTCTTCTTTAGAAACGTACGTAATGAGTGTAATGACAATATCCTTGCGTGTTTTGATTTTTTCTTCAAGTTAGGTTAGGAAGTGGTCTGTTCGTAAGCAGCTAATTATATGAAGCAAAATTTACATAATTTTGTGATGAAATATGTGAAAAAAATTACTATGTGTATAATTAATAAGGTAGTTGGTATAGAGCAAATAGTACAAGCTCCTTATCGTTCGGGTACTGCCAGAGTAGAGTAGAGTGAAAAGGGTTAACTCTACGAGCATCACCTCGCGATATCACATGACAAAATGCCCTTTATCTGCATTCCGCTCCAACTCCGTTTTGCCAAGCCGAACTCACCCATACTCACAGATGATGATTTTATGTTAACTGTCAACATTGTGACTTTCAAATTTAAAATAAGCAAAGCAAACGGCTTTACCATGCTGCGTGCTGAAACATACATAACCTAAGAACAGAGAGAAGAAACCAACACACAACTTTCATTCATCAATCATCATTCATCAATCATTCATTCAACTTCAAAAATCAACATTATCAACACCCTGGGCCTGAACAGTGAACACTGAACCCCCAGGTCACCAACAGAACCAGTCGCTTTTTTTTATTCATATTGAGTTATCATACAATAAGAAGATACAGGGAGGTGCGCTAAAAATTTCAAAAAACAATGAGAAAAATTTGGTAGATTTTCCACTAGTCCAGAAATTTTGCGCCTGCGGCGCTATTTCTTTCTCCTAGTGGGTTCCAGTGAAATTAAATATCGTTTCTAGTGGAAGCTCTTGGCTCAGGGTGGTTGGCAACACTGTAATCCATCTGTCAAAACGAAAAATTCAAAATGGCGTGGCAACCTCAACCATTGCCTCAACCAGCAAGTGAGTTTTGAATTAGGCATTCCTGGGTCACGTAACTTTGACAAGGTCCGCCATATTTGCTGAGGGGCAACCAAAGCCTATAGATCATTATTGTCTACAATGTTTTTCGAGTTTATGTTTCGGAATTTTTGCGTTTTTTGATTTGTTCAATAAATTTTAAGTTGTTTTTAGTTTTTGTGAATGAATGGAATGAATGAGTGAATCTTTATTTACAGACATGCCACTTTACATTTCAATTCAACAATAGTAAACAAACAATTTATTAACAAAAATTATGCTTAAGAATCTAAATTGTTTAAAAAATAAAAAAGTTTGATACTAACTAACATATCCTAAATTTGTACTGGGGACCCAATCCGAATTGTTTGTATCCTCAAATTCTGCTGGACTACCTAAAAGGTATTAAAAGTTACCTACTTGTAGAAACATAAACAACTTTTTTGATATACCGAGATGAAGTGTTTTTGTACTTTAACAACAAGACAGTCATAAAACTTACCATTAACAAAATGTTTCGAACAAATGCGAGCATTTTCAACTACGTTACAGTCAAATCTCCCCTTTTGAGGCATCTAATTCACATACTCCGTTGTTTTTTTGATAGCTCGTTTATGCGATCCCCTCGATCTTTAAATGCTGCATTGAAAATAACACTAAATCAGGTTAGGTTTGGCTTGTGTTTGCCCCTCAGCTAAAATGGCGGATCGGTTATGACGTCAACCTGGAATGCCTAATACAGTGGGTACATTCAGGCGGTCCCAGCGGCTTAGCTCATCAGCCTCTCAGCAGGAACTTTATTCTCGAAGCCAACTCATAAGAACGATTACTCTGTTATTGTCAGTGTTATGCCGGACGACAAAGACAGATTCTTTGTTCCAATAAGAACGCTGTTCCTTGGTTTCGAGAATAAAGTTCCTGCTGAGAGGCTGAGCTAAGCCGCTGGGACCGCCTGAATATACCCAGTGTGTCCATACTTAGGTTCGCAGGTTATGGGAAACTTTTTTATTATCAATTTCGCAAAAAAAAGTTATTCCTGATAAAAGTTTCTGCTTCTTGAAAAAATAATATTAAACTATTAGAACTTAAAATAACATGTACAGGTTGGTCAGAAAATAGAATAGTATACATCGGGGTTTTTCCTAAATACGGATTCGTACCTTTTAGGATGTGATTCCTTACAATATTTTTGGAAAAAAAAACTTCCCTAGGCAATTGTGTGTGTGCATTCAAGATGGCGTGGCGGCCACACATGGGTCAAACATAATTTTTTAGTCGGGTGCTGTCTGCTATTTTTTTCGGAGTTCCACAATTTTATGTGCTTTTAAAGTGTATTTGTGAGGGACGAAACTGTAAAGTGCAATACGACAAGACATTATCATCATGCAGAGCCTATATTTGCAAGAACTTGGTGCCCAGTCAGTCAGGATTATCCACATCCTCTAACTTACTTATCAGTTTCCCCATTATAAAACCATGATGGTTGAAGACATGATGTAGAATAGCACTCGTTTATCTTTGTGATAAAATGCTTACTAGAATCTTTTTGATTTGCCACTTTAGATTGTGAAATTTTGTTCCGTTTGATTGCCGCCACTTCAACTCAAAATGCTTACTAGAATCTCTTTGATTTGCCACTTTAGATTGTGAAATTTTGTTCCGTTTGATTGCCACCAGCTCCACTCGGAAATCCCGACCAAATCCAGCTATTGTCTAATATAATATACTAATTCTTCTTTGCATGGAAGTCACGCTTAGTTTGATTTATGGACTAGCTTGATTTGCTTATTAAAAAATGTGATAAGACTACGTTGTTTTTGAAAGCAGCGTTTTATTTCTTTGGAGTTCAGGGCTACATTGTCTGAATTTTTTACAGTCGTCATTCAGTCAGGAAGAAATACATTTTTGGCTTGCTGGCCTCAATCTAAATTCTGAACTCTGTCTGGACCTGGACAGGTAGCGAACATTATGATGATAAACACTGTATACTAGAGATAGTAAACTATGTATACTAAAATATTGGACAAAATAAATTCCTCCAAGCTGTAGAAGTGTTATTTTATGTTGCCTACCAAGATTTTTAAATAACACTGGTAACACATACCTACCTAGGTAATATGATTGGTTAACATTAGCTTTGTTTTGGTTTCACTCAGAACTAGTTCGGAATCATCCTGCACATGCGCATATTACAAAACGCGTTTTGGTTTTTTCAGAATCGTAATCGAACTGTGTTGACAGTGTTTTCGTTTATCTAGAACTTTTTGAGAACAATTCTGGGATTGTTCTAGAACGGTTCTCTCAGTTCTTGCTCTGAAGGAGGAACTGTTTTAGAATTTTGTGTTTTGGTTTTTTTGGTTCCGAATTGGTTCAGAACTAGTATTAGAACAGTCCTCTATTATTTTTTGTGCGCAAGCAGTTCTGTGCAATTCCAGAACCGTTCCAAGTTTCGAACCAAAACAAAGCTATTAACTTATTCAGAATATTTTATGATACAACCTCATAGTGTGCTCACAGTTTGAAGCAAATTCAGTGGAATTTACACTTGACACTTGTAATATGAATATTTTTCCATTTGGAAAATTATCTGATTAGATTCGTCACACTGTCAAGAAGATACACTTGCTATCGGCTTTAGCGACCATTTTGTTGAAAAACGATCTCGTCTTTGCTTGACTTGTCACTAAGAAAAAATAGATTGTATAATTTTAAGTATTTTCTAATTCTAACCCATTTTGAATTTATTTTATTCACTTAAATTGATATCCACCGCCCGCATGGTCCTTCAGCACTTTGTCAGATTTTTTTTTGATATTCTCTGTACAATTTGCAAACTGTCAGAAGTCAGAAAGCATCGTTTATACATGTTTTCAATGCCGTCGTTCGAAGATAAATCAGTAACTTAGCTGAGCGATTGTTTCTGAGAGATTGCAATCTGTCAGACTCTTCCGAGAACAGACCTTAAGCTCGCTTTGTTGATTTGCAGCTTCAGCGACAATTTTGTTGAAACCCAATCTCGTCTTTCCTTATTTTGTCACTGATGAAAAAAACAGATACCTATACAGGGTGCTACAAATTGGAGTGTATGCATGGGGATATCGGAAACCGTAAGAGATACGAGGTTGGTTAAATTATGGCAAAGTTGCGCAATTTTATGACCAATAAAATTCCGTTTTGAAATTTGAATAATTCCGAATACTTCCGAAGATATTCGGAGAAAAACGAAATTTTGCAAAATCATTTTTATTTTTTCCTGAGTCTATTTGGAGAGCAATTTCAAAATAAATGTCACTTCATCATTGTCACTTTTTTCCCTTTACAAGATGTTGCTACCAAATTTCAGATTCGACGTTTCGTCTTTGGGCGGCCATCATCAACTTCGTTTTTCTAAATACGGGCCTGGATTTTTTATTTCAGATTTTAAGAGTTTCTGATGTCCCAAAACCAATGAGATATTGCACTTATTCGAAAAATTTATATTATTGGCACTTTCCATAAGAACTTAATGTGTTAGAGAGAGAACGAGAAGATAATTTTGGCTAAAAGTAATAAAAATAATTTTTCGAATAAATGCGATACGTCATAGGTTTTGGGACAACAGAAGCTCTAAAAATCTGAAATAAGAAATCCAGGCCCGTATTTAGAAAAACGAAGTTGATGATGGCCGCCCAAAGACGAAACGTCGAATCTGAAATTTGGTAGCAACATCTTGTAAAGGAAAAAAAGTGACAACGATGAAGTGGCATTTATTTTGAAATTGCTCTTCAAATAGACTCAGGAAAAAATAAAAAGGATTTTGCAAAATTTCGGTTTTTTCCAAATATCTTCGGAAGTATTCGGAATTTTTCAAATTTCAAAACGGAATTTTATTGTTCATAATATTGCGCAACATTGCCATAATTTACCCAACCTCATATCTCTTATGGTTTCCGATATCCCCATACATGCACTCCAATTTGTAGCACCCTGTATATAGGTACCTACTCGAGGAACTAAGATAATTTAGGGCCGGGTTCTCATAACCAGTCATCACCGGGTTAAGCAAAACTCCAGTAGGGTGAATA